GAGAGAGAGAGAGAGAGAGAGAGAGAGAGAGAGAGAGAGAGAGAGAGAGAGAGAGAAGGGGTGGACCCAGGTGGTCGTGGTTGAGTGACGTTGCCTGATCCCACAATCAGGTTCTACTTGGCGCAGGTCCCTTCTCTTCCTGTGTTATTGATGGGCGTGTGTGGCTGCCATCTATCGGCATGAGAGTAGGCATGTTTACAAAGGCAAAGCTTTGTGATATCGATTTCATATCCCATGGTATGAGGCTGCTTGGCAGCAGCGCTGTTCGGTTTCTGTGACTGAAGCACTGCTGGATTGTAGAGCGAAACACTAACTTGAAGGTGATTCGTGCCATCTTCTGGAGTTCACAAACATGCGATTCTGTGAATAATATCAGTCAGGATGTTGACGGTTATGCGTTATGGGTTACGCGCCGATCCAACCCTACTTTGCGCACTTTATGGCGGGTATTGTGTCTTTCTGTGTGTTGAGGTGCTTCCAGATTACTACACTGCGGGAACCTCACATCATCACAGTTTTGTGTGTCTGTTTCCGCGGTCGGAACGTGTGCAGGTTGCACTTTGTGAAGCTTACCTGACAATTCTGAGACTGTGCCCACAGTATGCTGAGTGTCTTCCCCTCTTCTTTCCTCTCCTTGGAGTGCCGGGTGTCGGTTCGATCCTGAGTAAGTGCATCCAGGCAGTAGTGGAGCTCTTGCCTCTTCACAAGATGCCATGGCAGTCGCGATATCGCGACTCGGATACTGTGGAGAGGCAGCCCGGTGGGGAAGGGGATGGGATCGCCATGGAGAATGCTGTTGTAGGTGGACCTGTGGCAATTGGAGTTGAAGACGATCCGCGTGGTTTACGTGTCAAGCGTCGAAAGATTCAAGTGTCGCCCGAAGAGTGGGAAAGATGGGCCAGTACCTCCTCATTATTGCCAGTGGGAGAAGGCATGCATGCCGGGATCGATTCCACGAGGAGACTTTTTGAATTGATTGTGCTCGAGATCGAATCCCTAGACCCCGATGTATGCATCCAAGGAGCTCAAAGTGGAGGTGACGACAGATCAGAGGAGAGTGCAAAGGAGGTCAGCTGGCAAATGCAGAAGGCCCTGTCTATGCTGTGCATCTGGGTGAGGGTCTTTGCACGATCGACAAGGACCATGTGCCATGCACTTGTGATTGAGAAGATCTGTGCTTGGATAAGGTGGGCAGTAACTAAGGTGTGAATCTTCATCCTATACACAGTCCTCAAGGTCCTCTCGATATCTGAAAAAAAGGATGTCGGTGCCACAAGTTGGTTTTGCTATGACATTCCTGAATCCTAAATTCTAAATTTCTAATGTTATAAAAGCCAGTGAGAGCGCTTGATTTGTTTGCGCTTCTTGTTGATTGAGAAGATCTGTTGCTGTTGTTGTTGTTGTTGTTGTTTTAATTTTAAAGCTGTCTTCTTGTCATATGGGGCACAGGTGTATTCACTGCAGTATTTTCTTCTCTCAATATTGTGTCGGCCTCACACTCCCTACCTTACCTACCTTGCGTTAACTACCCACATATCTTTTATGTTGATCTCCCACGTCTATATACTGGTCTATCCACAAATAGGATGGGTAATGTACTAATGTTCATTTTTGTGATTGAGAAAGTAATAAAATATGCAAAATATGTGCTTGGACAAACCGGATAATGCTCTTTTTGTGATCAAGAAGGTCTGTGAAAGGATAAGATGGATGATGCTCTTTTTCTGTTTTTTTCATACATGCAAGCGCACCTCGTGCGGGCAGTTCCGGACGTGCGGCGCACGCGCCCAACCGATCCCGTGCGGCGCACGAGATGTGCGGGGAATGACCCGTCACCCCCCTCCCGAAAAGAAAAACGAAGGCCGGGGGTTGAAATGGTGCGTTCGAGACCCCCCGCCAAAATTATAAGCGGGATTAATTTTTTTTCGGTCAGGCGTGATTAGTTGGCAGGAGAGCGGGACTCGAGATCGGGACTAGGGATGTGTGTGTGTGTGTGTGTGTGTGTGTGTGTGTGTGTGCAGACTTCTTTTTTTTTTTTTTTTTTTTTTTT